GAATACACGTTTGCTTATTTAGCACTATTTATTGTCTCCCACGTTTGAATTTGTGTAGGACCGAATGATATTGAGGTGCTGTTAAGAAAAGAGAAGGGGTGAAGGGCTGCGCTAGATACAGGTAAATAAAATTTATAAAATAATGGTAGGATAAAAATATGCAGTAAAAAGTACAATAAGAATGTGTGAAACAAAGTCCGTGCACTAGTAGTGATAAAACTTAAAAAGTCCAATAACATGCATAAAAGACGTCTCACTGATATGTGGATGAGCTGTATATGTACAGTCCTCAAAGGTTAATCCTTCCGAATTTCCAGGGAATCCGTATATGAAAGATAAAAACATAAACACACTTCCAATGGTATAGTATGTACTGAGAGGATTAGCGAAATTGAATAAAATGGAGGATAGTAAACTCACATTTGTTGGAGCTTAGGACCAGCTCTTAGTTGTAAAGCACTTAGCGGTATAATCCCCGCTAATGGATATTCTGTGAGGTTAGGTCACTCCGTCCGGCTTTGGTTCCGTAGGATTTCACATGGTATAAAAAAACAAATATAGTGCTCTCAGTATGAAGGGAAAACGTAAAATAAAATAAGTTATACTCACAATGGTAGAGCAGGGAGTACTGCTCTATTTATAATGCGCCGGTGGAATAATCCGCACCTGTGGATTGCTTTAAGCAGGAACAGTTAGATGCCAGGAGAAAAAGAAAAAATAGTGTTTATACAATAAAACAAAAATGGTCCTATAAATAAGGGTACCAAATAAAAGTTTTTATTGTTAAAATACACAGTAAAAAACCATTTAACGCGTTTCACCTCATGGGCTTTATCAAAAATGGCTAAAGAAAGCTGTTAAGTAGTGGTGGGCTTAAGACAATATGTCCATATGGTGGAACTGAATCCCCATATTTGTTTGCTGACATAGGTGATTTTAAGTAGCTTTATATAATTTAAAAATGTGTTTTTATGTGTGCGCTGTTCCTTTATCTGTAAAAAAAAATTCCACATTCTTATTATAATTACTGTAAAAAAAACCAAAAAAAAAACCCTAAATCTCCTAAATATGTGACCTCTTGTCCTATGTATAGTCCTGTTTATGAATAGATTTCCAGAGAATGGTTTGTTTTTTTGTGAATATGATATTTTATTTATTTTTCATTTTAATTAACAGTGAAACTTGCAAGTCTCCATTTGCATTTAACCTGTAACAGTTTAAAAATTTGCATGTTCATTTGGGCTCGCAGGCCCGCATTGTCGTCGGACTCGCAGGTCCCTTGCATCATTCCATTTCAATGATATGTGTGTGTGAGTACATCTAATGTGAAAGCATGGATGAGGTAAGGTCGTGTAACAGCCCGGGTCCTGTGACGCGCAGGTCCGCATCTTTCATCTTTGCCCCCCTTTGTTGGTCCCTGTATGGTTTGTGTGTACACATTGTCTATGTGTCTGGTCTTCTCGTGTCTGTTTTAGTATTAAGTGGTCACCTTAGTACTGGTATGATGGTGTTGCGGGGGGTGCTACAGCACCTGAGAACTGTCTTCCCCCTATCTCTCTGGTTTTGTGTCTTCTGGCTAGAATCGTGGTGGGGTCGATATCTTGTTAGTGAAGTCTGGTTCGGTTGTCTTCAGTATCCAATGTGTCCACGTGTTGAGGTACGCTTGGAATGTGTCATTAGCGCTGTGGTGGAGTTCCTCTAGGGATCTCAGTTCCTCCATTTGTGTGAACCCATCTTTCAGGGGAGGGGTGACCTGTTGCTTCCAATACTGTGGTATTATCATTTTAGCCGTGTTCAATATGCGGATTGTGAGCGATTTCTTATACGCTGTTCTAGGGATCTTGGTGTGGTGTAAGAGCATTGCTGCTGGGCTGAGTGGGGAAGGGTCGTCTGTAAACTTCCCTACTATCTGGTGTATATCTTTCCAGTACGGGGCTTTTTACACTCCCACCAGATGTGCAGGAGCGTACCTCCTTCCTCCTCGCACCTCCAACACTGGAGGGAGTGTGATGGGATGCGTGCATTTAGCGTCGCGGGAGTGTAGTACCAGTGCGTCAATAATTTATATGCCGTTTCTTGTGTCTTGCTAAAGCTGGAAAGGTGGTGTGTGAGATAACATATTTTCTCCCATTCTGCTTTGTCAAAAGTATGGCCTAGTGCCGCCTCCCACTTCCCCATGAATCGTGGTTGTTCTGTTGGTGTGAGTGTTAGTAGTAGGGTGTATAGAACAGACACTCCATGTGCTAGTGGGTTGGGGTCCAGGCATAGATTCTCGAAGGAGGTAGTAGCCCGTTGTAGTATTGGTCCTTGTGGGAGTGAAGTGCTATAACTCCGGATCTGTTTGTATTTTAGATGCATCAGGAGGGTGTGTTCTGTGTCCCCCCCTCAGATCCTTGAGTGTCTTAATGCCCTCTGTTGTGTGGATGTGTCTGAGTCTGGGTAGTGGGTCCTGGATTAGATCTTTAAACGCTTTCGGGTCTTTTCCCGGTGGAAAGTCAGGGTTGTGTATCAGTGGTAATAGGGGGGTTGGGTATGAGGTTAGGCCGTGTCTCCCTTTTGTGCGGTTCCACTCTCGTAAGGTCGCTCTCATGTAGGGGGATTGTTTCTTATCCCCTTTCTGAGCCTCGGGTGGTAGCCATGGTAGTATTGCGACCGGGACACCCGGCTCATGTTCCTCTGCCTGTTTCCACTGTTTATGTGTTCCTGGTTTAGTCCATTCCATTATCCGCATGAAATGGCAGGCCCTATAGTAGAGGGTGAAATCTGGCAATGCCAGTCCGCCCCTGTCTTTTGGTTGTGTTAATAATGTGTGGCGTAGCCTGGGCTTTTTCCCGTTCCAGACGTATTGGCTTAGAGCCGTGCACAGCGAGGAAAAGTACGCTCCGGGGACAGTTATGGGGATAGTTTGGAATAAGTATAGTATACGCGGAAGGAAGTTAATTTTCACCACCTGTATCCTACCTAGCCATGAGATGTGTGGGTGTGCCCATTCCTGCGTCTCCGAGCGCATCTTTGCATGCATTACGGAGAAGTTTTAATTGAATAGATCCCCTTCTCGTTTTGTTAGCCAGATACCTAGGTATTTGATTTTATGTGTTGCCCATTGGAATGTATAGTGTCGGCGTAGTGGTTCCGCCCTGTGTTCCGGGATGTTAATGTTGAGTATGAATGATTTAGCAAGGTTAATTTTTAGGCTGGAGAGTCTACCGAAGTCCTGAAATGCTTTCAGTATGTTGGGGAGGGATATTTCTGGGTTAGTTACATAAAACAGTAAGTCATCGGCATACGCCGCGATTTTGTGGTGAGTCATCCCTGTCTGCATCCCTGAAATGTCTGGGATGTTTCTGATGGCCACCAGCAGGGGCTCTAGGGCAAGGACAAAGAGGATCGGGGACAGGGGGCATCCCTGGCGTGTGCCGTTTTGTATGTCAAACGGTTCCGACAAGGCGCCGTTTATGACCACCTGAGCGGAGGGTTGCTTATATAATGCCTCTATCCACCCTCGGATTCCCAGGCCCAGACCAATGTGAGCCAGGGTCTGGAATAGGTATTTCCATCCAACCCTGTCGAAGGCCTTCTCCGCGTCCGTGGATAGCAGGAGAAGGCCTCCCGGGGTACGCCTACCACTGTGCATCAGTGTGAGGGTGCGTATGGTGTTATCTCGTGCTTCTTGCCCCAGCACGAACCCCACCTGGTCAGGATGCACCAGAGTGGGCACATGTGCCTGTAGTCTAGTTGCCAATATTTTGGCTAGTAATTTGAGGTCACAGTTTATGAGCGAGATTGGGCGATAGTTTCCACACTGTTCCCCGTCTTTTCCTTCTTTAGGGAGTATTGTAATGTGCGCTGCCTGTGATTGCTTGGGGAAGTGGTGACCTTCTTTGATGGCATTGAATGTTGTTATTAGTGGGGTGTATAGGATGTCTGCATATCCTTATAGTAGCAGAGCGGCAGGCCGTCCGGGCCCGGGCTTCTGCCTGGTTTTGTCTGTGTCACAGCCACGGCTAATTCCTCCTGTGTTATTGGGTGCGCAGCCCAGCAATTTGTTGAATACCTCCGTTAAGGTAGACTGTAGTGGGGTGGCATCGTCCACTTCCTCCGGGATCCCTCGGACCCTAATATTCTGCCTCCTCCCCCGGTTATCTAGGTCCTCTAGGTGGTATGCCATCTGGTGCATCTGTTGGGCATTACGCTGCAGGGTCCCTGTGTTGGCGGACTGCGCCGCTTGCATGTGGTCGCTGTCTGCCTCGAGCTGGGAGAACCTCTGGCTTAGGCCGCAGAATTCCTCCCGCATGGCCTGTATTTCTTCAGTGATGGAGGCGCGGAGGCTGTTATTAGCTTCCATTAAGTCCGCTTTAGTAGGCAGGCTGCGGAGGATGTGCATCAGTTCTGGGTGTGTTTCAGCTGGGTAAAGTGTGGGTGTCTCGGCTAGTGCCTCCTCGCCACATAGGGAAGGCGAGATCACCCCGCCCGAGGCCGTTGAGTCGTTGGAGGCCTGTGCATCCCGGTCCGCCAGGGTCATCAGGAATCGCCTCATGGATGGATTTGTGTTCCCCCTTGGGGTGTCCATGGGCTTCGAAGTGTGTGATGCTCTTTGTGATTTGCCCATTTTCGGAGCAATTAGGTGCTGAAGGCGAGGTTGTGCTTAGAGCCTTGCAGGGAGCTCAGGCTTCACGCCGCCAACTTCATCGGCTTCCAAGCCACGCACCCCCACAGAATGGTTTGGATTGGCCCCCAAATATATTATTTGTATGATGCTATCATATCCCCTCTGAGATGCTGTTTTTACAGAGAACTGAGCAGTGAGAAGGCAGGGGCATGATGTATATCTTATGTGATATGACATCCTGATAATCAATTGGTTAATGATACAGAGGGACACATATCTGAATAAGTGATTCTATAACGAACTGTTGATTAAAGATTCCTCATTTTGTGTGATAACTGAAATGGAAAAATCAATTAAAAGTATTGATTATTTCTTTGTGTATCTGCCCCTGGCCAAATCAATGAAACAATGCGTGCACGCTCCCTGAAGTAATTCACACCAGACACAGGTTCCAGGTTGTTGAATAACTTGAGGAAAGTTTATTCAGAGGGGACGGCAGGTCCCTTTTAAAGCAAAATTACATCATAAGCATTGTCAGAGATAACATGAAATAATACATCAATAATTGGTTAAGTGTTAAGTGTCTTATTCAAAGCACGTCCTACAGGGTGTGCCTTCTTATGTCATTACTGTCGTCATGGAGTTCTCCCCCAGGATTCCAGCGCCATCTTGCTGCACGAGGTAGTTAGTCGGTGTTTAAAGGGGCAGGGGGAGGAAGGGGTTAGAAGCTTCTAGCAGCCATTTTGATTAAACATGTGTGCTTAACTCTATAGCATAGTGTGAGATGAGTAAATAGACATTTTCCTTTAACTAGGAAATATGTGTAGACCTTATTTCCACAACAGTCCCCCCTAAAATGGCTATTTACCATAACAACTGCTACTGTCCCTAATATATCCCTAATGATATGCTCCTAATCTATCTCAGTAGGCATCGAACACTTCACTCCGTGGGTAACCCGCAGCGGCTAATCCACTACATCTCCACACGTGAGACTCGCCTGCCAAGACAGATGCTTTCCCTATACTATCCCTACAGGAAAGCAGTTGTCTGTTTGAACTGATGTGCTTGAAGGGGTGTATGTGGTGTGTCATCTTCGAGGTCTGTGACGTCCTGATGTAGGAAAGTAGGGGTCACGTCAACTATAGTCTTATCTACTGCTTTTTGTAAGTACTTCTGTATGCAAGGGAGTACGCAACAGGTTAGAAATAAGAAAATGATGATCATTATAAGAACAGCTGTCCCTACCTGGAAGAGGGTCCTTTGCCAACCATTCATCCATCCAAACCATCTGTCCCAAGTGTCAGTGACTCCTGAATTTTTCTTTAGCTCGTCTGCAAGACTATCTAGCTTCTCTATGGCCATAGTCACCTTACCATTGGGCCCAGTGTTGTCTGGAATGTATGTGCGACATGTCATGGTCTCAGGGAGGATTTTACATACACCCCCTTTCTCAGCTAAAATCATATCTAGGGCCATTCTGTTCTGAAATGTCATTTGGGTAGTGGCTTGTAATTACTCTGCCAGGCCCTGTAGGGCATCCCTAGTATAGTTGACAAAGCGCTGTTGATTATAGTAAATGTAGTTAATCCAATTGACATTTTTGTTAGAAATTATCATTGGAATTAGGGATTCAAATCCTGCAGCCACTTCATCTCTTGCTTTGTATTCTTTAGGCACCCCCCTTGGCACACCTATGGCATCAATATACACATGGGGGTCAAAGCTCCCTCTGATAGGAGCCCCTCGTTTGGTTCTAGAGTGTACATGTGTAAGGTTTAACGTGTTATGACTACCATCTGGAATAATGTGGATAGGCATTATGACTTTGGTTAGGGCACACTCCCCCCACCATTGCTCAGCTAATTGGGACCTCAATTGTCTGTCACCACATAACCAATAGATATCTCCAATGGTCTTTGCATGATTTATTAGCAGTGACACAGGTGGGCTATGGTAGGTTGAGCAATATCCAGATGGGAATCTGCCCAGATACACACCAGTATTCTTAGGTATAGCATAACATGTGTAATTACCTGGATACACGGTGACTCCATCAGGTGGCTTGACATATCCATGAGTGATTGGGTGAACCCTTTTCCATGATTCACATGTTGAGGAGTTGGTGGTGGATTGTGCATAAAGACTCAGAACACATAATTCTACTTCAGGAGGTAGGCTTAGAGGTACTGTGCCCAGATGGGGCCTGGCTCCTCCACATACATAACAGTTAGTCTTATTATGTGAGTTGGCGTTATATCTCATCCATTCTAGCCACAAATTAGTGTCTGAAAACCCAGTCTCTACTGTCATAGTGTCTTCAAAGGTGGGATTGGCTATAGCTACCATGTCATGTAGAGTCTTAATATGTGGTTTTAACGTGTTAATAGTCATGTGAGTGGTTCCTACCCAGTCTGGTGAGGTGAGCCTTTTTGCTAGGTATGTCTTTGTATATGGCTGCATATTGTGTTTGTGGAAAAGGTGCAAACAACTATGTCACAGTAATCAAAGGTGTATGTAGCTACATCTGTGTTAGAAGAATTGTACCAGAAAAGTGTAAACATGATTATCTTTGGTTATGGCCACTTGTTGGGCCCAGGCAAAGTGTAGCAGCATAAGAAAACACAAGACACATAATAAATTCATATTTCAGCAAGATTAGCCTCTTCTGGAGCAGGCACTTTTTTGTAATGTGAGGCGTGTATCCAAGAACTCTTCCCGGCTAGTTTAACTGACGTTGCTGTAATCAGGAGCACTTGATATGGGCCATCAAATCTTGGTTCTAGGGTGTGTTTCCTGAGAAACTTCTTGACCATAACCCAATCACCAGGAAGCAGCTTGTGTGTACCTGTATTTGACTCAGGATCTGGAATAGAAGAAAACACTTGGGCATGTATTTTGGTCAAGGCATGTGAGAGGGCAGTCACATAGTCTACCATAGCATCTGACTGAATCTGAAGCTGTTGGGGAAAGTAACAACCTAACCTGGGTGCTGTACCAAACAAAATCTCATAAGGTGATAGGCTATATTTTCCCCTAGGAGTGTACCTTACACTAAACAACGCTAATGGGAGACTCTCGGGCCAGGGCATGTTAGTTTCTTGTGACATTTTAAGCATTCTGGCTTTCAAAGTGCCATTCATGCGCTCTACCTTACCACTACTCTGTGGGTGATATGGTGTGTGGAATGCAAGGGTCACCCCCAGTGCTGGCCAGACTTCCCGTGTTAGTGAGGCAGTGAAGGAGGTCCCTTGGTCACTTTCAATCACTTCTGGAACTCCATAGCGGCAAACAATTTCTGTCAAGAGATACTTGGCTGTAGTCCTCGCGGTGAGATTAGTCACTGGGAAGGCCTCTGGCCATCCTGAAAACATGTCCACTATGACCAATGCATATTCATAACGTCCACTCTTTGGCATCTGAATGTGATCAATCTGGATCCTCTGGAAGGGGTATTGTGGTTTAGCTAGATGATTAGGTGCAGTCTTTATAATCTTTCCAGGATTGCATTTAGCACATATAGTACAAGATTTACAGTAATTCTGTGTTAAGGTAGTGATGCCTGGTGCTTCAAAATACTTGTCAATCAATGAGTTCATCAGATGTTTTGACAGGTGGGCTGGCCCATGGGCCCATTGGACCACCGCTGGATACATATTTCTGGGTAGGCAAAACTTGAGATTGATAGTGTAAACATCATCACGGAGTACAGCTCCTTTGTTCTTCCAACTTTGTTTCTCCTGGGGAGTAGCAGCAGCTCGTTGTTCCTTCAGAAACCTAAGATCCGTAGGCAGTGTTTGCATAGTGTAGATGGGTACTGCATCTGTGGCCACTCTTCTGTCCACTTCCCATCCTTGTCGTGCTGCTTCCTTAGCGGCCTGATCAGCTAAGTGGGGAAATATCAGGGTCACAGTCTATGATGAGTGGGTCCTCACAGACGTCTGTGTGGTACCTAGGGTACCCTGCTGTACAGTAGTTAATAGTCTTTTTGCTGGTCCCCATAGAAGTCAGTTGTTCTTGGTTCATTTGACTCCAGGTCTTGGCCATCGGCCTAGGTCTTTCCACGAGATGTCGGGAGGTCTGGTGAGAGATATGTGTGGGATAGATGTTTCCCAATGGTGATAGAGATGTGTCACACTCTCTGGGAGGTGGACTAGGATGAGCATGGTACCTGTGAGGTCCCAAAACAAGTCAGTCAGGGTAATTTGGATTTCTTTGAGTTGGAATACTTCTGCCTCATAGTTCATATCAGGGCCTGGTTCATCCCTAACCCACAAAGTACAGTGGAGTAGGGCCACTGATTGTTCATCATGTGGAGGTGCAAGTGCAGGTAGTTGCAGATCTGCTAGAACTTCTGGGTTGATATCCAGGCTATACCAGTGGTACACAATTCCCCCCTTGGGAAGTGGCAGAAGAGTGGCTGGATTCAGGGTAAGGCATCTCTGGAGTTTCACATTGTCAGGTAAAAGCAAGGAGATTTGCAGGCGGAGGTGGCGTTGGGAGGAAAGGTGCTTGGGTTGAACTTGTTGCAGGATAGCAGTAATGTCATGAGGGGCCAACACTGTGAGGTGATGGCCAAGAACAAAGTCATTAGTCTTGTCCAAGAGGGCACTGGCGGCAAACACAGCACGGAGGCAAGAGGGGCTGCCCCTTGCAACAGGGTCAAGCATGCAGGAAAAATAGCCAATAGGCCGTTGTCTGTACCCATGTTTCTGAGTAAGGACTCCGGAAGCATGTCCTGATTTCTCAGAGACAAACAAATTGAAAGAGAGTTGGTAGTTGGGGAGGCCCAAAGCAGGTGCAGAAGCAATGGCTCTTTTCAGAGTATGGAAACAGTTAATAGTTTCTTCAGTGAGATGAAAGGGCTCACTCCTGAGGGCATCATAGAGTGGCTGCATGAGTTTGGATGCTTCAGGTATCCAGGACCTGCAGTATGTGATGAGTCCCAAGAAAGCATGAAGAGAGTGATGAGTTGCAGGTAATGGGAGTTGCAGGATAGCTTGCACCCGTTGTGAGGTTAGATGTTTGGTGCCATGGGAAAGGCAATGTCCCAAGAAGACCACAGAGGGCCGGCACCATTGTAGCTTTGATTTTGAGCCCTTGCAACCTGCAGCAGCGAGGAAACATAGGAGATCTTCTGAGTCACGCTCTGCAATAAGCAAATTAGGAGCACAGAGAAGGAGGTCATCAACATATTGAAGTAGAATAACATCCAGATGAGATTTCTGCCAGGGATCCAAAACTAGAGACATGGCATGAGCAAACTGTGTGGGAGAGTTCTGAGCTCCCTGAGGCATAACAGTCCAGGTATATTGTTGTCCTTCATGTGTGAAGGCGAAGAGAAAATAGCAGGAAGGGTCAAGGGGGACACTAAAAAAGGCATTAGCTAGATCCACTACAGAAAAAAATTGTTGTATTGGGTGGCACCTGGGACAAAAGGGTATGGGGGTTTGGAACAATAGCAGAAGTATGGTTACTTCTTTAACAGCACGGAGGTCCTGTACCATGCGGTACTGGTCGGGTTGGCCCTTAACAGTTCACTTTTTAACAGGGAAAAGTGGGGTGTTGCATGGAGATGTGCACTTGGTGAGGGCACCTTTGGCAAGCAGAGACTCAACTTGTTTGGTGATGGCTTCAGCTTGTGCTGGCTTCAGAGGATACTGAGGTCTACGAGGAGGAAGTGCTCCAGGCAGGAGCTGGACCAGGACGGGGGGTACACGTAAGCGTCCAATATCATCCGGGCCGGTGGACCAAAGTTCTTGGGGGATACGATCCAGAGCACTGGGGGGGGGTGTGACCCGTGCACTCCCTGTATTGTCAGTTAGGTTCAACAAGATGGGGAGTGAGCAGAGTACAGTGGTGTCTGTCTGTGATAAGGGTGTAGTTAACTGGACCCTGGAGCTGAGAAAGAACATCAGCACCCAAGAGGTTAATGGGACAAGTAGAAGAAACAACAAAACGTGAGAGTATGTATGAACCAACATGCAGGAGTGTAGTGAGGGGGCTACTGCGGGGTGTACCATCCACCCCAACACAGGAGACATCGGTGTCTGACAAAAAGGAGGGGTCATGGCAGGGGTTGCTGACACAGGCTTGCCGGTAACCTATTGCAGTAAATCTAAATGGGCCTGGTCGGGTCCTTGGTACCGGCGGGTAGAAGTGGGAGGGTGGCTGGACTGCATAGGAGCACGGGCAAGGCGGCTTTGTCGAGGTAGGGGCTGAATATCTTGGAAACCACCCGTGTCAAACCCATCAGCATGAGCTGGAGGGTATGCACAGGCCTCTAAAGCAGGGGGCCGGCTGGGATGGGCGTGATAGGTGAGTATTAAGGACGTGAGCAAGGGCAGAGATTGGATCGGAAGGCTCGGGGACGTTAGCCGGGGGCGGAGAAGGGGTTGGAGGATCAGAGGGAGGAGGTGGTAAATCAGTGGGAGGCGGGGCAGGAATCGCGGAATTAACCAGGGAGGTAACAGCAGAGAAGAGGGCGGATATCGAGCTAGACAGGTCATTGGCCATGGTTGAGTCAGGGGTCACCGGGGGAGGGGTCGGAGGGATGGGAACAGGGGGCTGGGTCGCAACAGCGTGGGTAGAGGGTTGGGACGGCAAATCAGTCGGGAGGGGAGGAGGCAACGAAGTAGAGGGGACCGGGATATCGGGAGGGGGTACCACTGGAGAAGGGGTTGGAGGGGTGGGAACGGGGGCCTGGGTCAGGGCGGTAAGGGCAGAGATTAGGGACGGCAAATCAGCCGAGGGAGGAGGCAACGAGGTAGAGGGGACCGATAAGGGAGGGGTACCATACTGAAAAGGGGGCTGGAGGCAAGGGAACGGGGCTGGGTCAGGGGCGTGTGGAGAGATTAGGGACGCAACCCAGCCGCAGAGGGGAGGAGGCACCAGGGGTAGAGGGACCGGGATATCGGAGGGGTACCACTGAAAAGGGGCTGAGGGGTGTGGAACGGGCTGGCCACAGCGTGAGGGCAGATTGGGGACGGCAAATCAAATGAGAGGGGAGGAGGCAACGAGGTAGAGGGGGCCGGGACTTCGGGAGGAGGAGGTAACACTGGAGAAGGGGTTGGATGGGTGGTAACGGGGGGCTGGGTCAGGGCGGTGAGGGCAGAGATTAGGGACGGCAAATCAGCCGAGAGGGGAGGAGGCAACGAGGTAGAGGGGACCGGGATATCGGGAGGGGGTACCACTGGAGAAGGGGTTGGAGGGGTGGGAACGGGGGCTGGGTCAGGGCAGTAAAGGCAGAGATTAGGGACGGCAAATCAGCCGAGAGGGGAGGAGGCAACGAGGTAGAGGGGACCGGGATATCGGGAGGGGGTACCACTGGAGAAGGGGTTGGAGGGGTGGGAACGGGGGGCTGGGTCAGGGCGGTGAGGGCAGAGATTAGGGACGGCAAATCAGTCGGGAGGGGAGGGGACAACGAGGTAGAAGGGAGGTCCGGAGGCATAAGGGAAGCGGGATCAGCGGGAGGACAAGGGTCTGGAGGATCTGGGGCGGTGGGGTGAGTAAGGTCGAGAGGGCAGAGAGCGGGGCAGCGGATGGAGACGGGTGAGTGGGTAACACTGGGGAGGGGTCAGTCGAGGTGGAGAGGGGACGAGAGGCAAGCATAGGTAAAGGTGGCGGAGGACAGGGAGGCGGAGGAATGTCATTTAACGTAAAGGATGTTACTGTAAACATATGATTTGTAACTAGCAAGATTCTATTAAGTAAAGATACGATGTTTAAAAAACTTGCATTATTTTGCAATATCCCTTGTTGCAAGACACAGGCATTAATGAATAAACATCAGGATAATTAGCTGTAATGCTCTTAAATTCGTGCCCCACAGAACTCATTTGTAGGGCACACCACAGGTGCAAATGATTCTTTAGCAACCTCTTTCTTTTTTTTTCTTCTTTTTTTTTTAAACATCACGGACACATCTCTGATACAGGGAAACAAATGGCATGATTGTTTTAGTTAATATAACGTTTCAGTTTATAATATGTAGAGCGTAAGGAAAACAAGACTCTACATAGAACGAGCATAATATGGGTAGGCCTCATGATGGAGGCAGCCATGACAGGGGCGGGGAAGGAAATGACAGCAAGGGAGGAAGTGAGGTGACGTCCATGATAGGTGTGGGAAAGGAAGACAGGAGGTGTGGGCATGGTAAGGGCGGAAGTGACGTTACTTTAGAAGCAACCGTGACTGTAGATAGGTCCTTCTGTACTAGGCGCCATCTTTAGGGTGGTGGCTGACGTACTTTCAACAATACACCATATTATAACTAATAAAATAAGTCAGAGAGGCAACATCCCGTTCTGCAAAATGAAAAATTAAACTATGAACAGACCTGGCAGGTTAAATAAGACAGTTGAGAACATTATGCATTTAACAGCCCATAAAGCTATCCATTGAAAAATGTACTTTAACATGAAGCAAGATAAACTCACGGAATTCAACCAATTTCCCTTAACATCCTCTAACCATTAATCACTTTCCTCCTCTTATACAGACATAACAACATCGCATATTCCCCTTAACAAGCTACAAGCTACACCTTCCTAGATCCCGTATTCAACACTGAATGCAATCTTGTGAGCTCGTCACTCCCACAATCCTCAGTACCTTATCTCAAAACATAATTTATAAGTATATATAGCACTACGGAATCTGTTGGCGCCATCCAAATGGCAACAATAAAAATATTATTACACAATTATAGCTCCATAACCTGCCTGACAACGTCTATGTATGGAACAATGTACACAATACTACACAATTAGAATATTCTCCAGCAAAAAAATCCCGTTTCTAACTCTTATCAGTAGCTACGAAATGCAGGAATGTAGGCAAGCGGGGAGTAGGGGTGGGAGAAAGTGTGACAGTGCAAAAAGGGGAGAGAGAGAAACTGCAGGCATGAAGATTAACCATGTGAGCTCCGTAAAGTAACAAGACAGAAGGACAGAGATTTATACGTTTGGAAACCAGAAATCTTTGCTAACTTTTTCATTTTCAGCATAGCTTCTTCCCCTGCCCTCTCTTTAACAATATCACAAGCCAAATACCCCTTAGCTGGTCTAGTATGTGCTTGCCCCTTTTTGACCAAGCGAGGTCTGCCAAGTAAAGGAGACCAAGTGAGAGGGAAGAAGAAGTAGGAAAGTCTACAGTGCTCGACTGGCTAGTCACGATGGTCTGTGCACCCGGGGGAGGTGGCCACAGACCGGAGGGGGCGAGCGTGGGTGACTAACACAGCTCTGGGCAACAAACACAGGAGAGATAAAGGACAAATGAAAAGATGAAAGTGGTTACACTAACAAGAAGACATTTGCAAAAATCACAAACATAGAGATGAGTGTAAACCCCAGAATCCAGAACTAGCCACACTATACACACACACACACACACCAAGGGTACCCACACTGTAACAACAATTAAACAAAAAACCACAGAATGACAGAGAGTAAAATGGCCATGTACATGTTAATGACACCGGTGCCAAATAATCGAAGTATAGCAATCCTCAGCCTTCACCCACCAGGCTGGTCCCAGTATAACACAGGTACTAATGGGAGCACAGTAATAAACAAACAAAATCCCAGCCCCACCGGCTGTAATGCGTTCCCTGCCCGCTAGGCAGTCAAGCTAACTTAAAATCCCAGCCCCACCGGCTGTAATGCGTTCCCTGCCTGCTAGGCAGTCAAGCTAACTTAAAATCCCAGCCCCACCGGCTGTAATGCGTTCCCTGCCCGCTAGGCAGTCAAGCTAACATATAAAATGCGTTCCCTGCCCGCTAGGCAGTCAAGCAAACATAAAAACCCAGCCCCACCGGCTGTAATGCATTCCCTGCCCGCTAGGCAGTCAAGCTAACATTAAAACCCAGCCCCACCGGCTGTAATGCGTTCCCTGCCCGCTAGGCAGTCAAGCTAACATAAAAACCCAGCCCCACCGGCTGTAATGCGTTCCCTGCCCACTAGGCAGTCAAGCTAACATAAAAAAACCCAGCCCCACCGGCTGTAATGCGTTCCCTGCCCGCTAGGCAGTCAAGCAAACATAAAAAACCCAGCCCCACCGGCTGTAATGCGTTCCCTGCCCGCTAGGCAGTCAAGCTAACATATAAAACCCAGCCCCACCGGCTGTAATGCGTTCCCTGCCCGCTAGGCAGTCAAGCTATTGTCTTTTAAAAAGGGGGAAAACACACACTCCGGCCGTCACACACATTCAAACAAATACAGGAGGCAGATAGACAATCGACAGGTTCACTTTAAAAGGGTACCCCGGATGAGCTAAATACCTGTCTCTAGTAGCCTTCTGGAAGCCGGAAGTGGACTCTGAGACAGACCGACACAAAACAGGAGAATAACACAGGCAACGGCTGTATTATGGAGGTGATCAGGCTCCGCTTGTCCCATTTTCTGGGGGTCCGCTCTGGTCCTTGGTATCCGGCCCTCCGAACCGGCAAATCCGGGGGCCCCACGTTGGGCGCCAATTGAAATGGAAAAATCAATAAAAGTATTGATTATTTCTTTGTGTATCTGCCCCTGGCCAAATCAATGAAACAATGCGTGCACGCTCCCTGAAGTAATTCACACCAGACACAGGTTCTAGGTTGTTGAATAACTTGAGGAAAAGTTTATTCAGAGGGGACGGCAGGTCCCTTTTAAAGCAAAATTACATCATAAGCATTGTCAGAGATAACATGAAATAATGCATCAATAATTGGTTAAGTGTTAAGTGTTTTATTCAAAGCACGTCCTACAGGGTGTGCCTTCTTATGTCATTACTGTCGTCATGGAGTTCTCCCCCAGGATTCCAGCACCATCTTGAAAATTAGAGTGTTTGGTCGATGGGTGGGGTACTCCTGAGTGACATCTAGTGGTCAGTTTAGTAATTTATTGAATAATATTAAGTATAACTAAATGAAGTAAATAGACATTTTACTAGCTAAAAATATGTCAATATTTCATGTCACCAGGTCCATGAGGGTCTCCCACGGTTTCCCGGCACCATCTTGCTGCACGAGGTAGTTAGTCGGTGTTTAAAGGGGCAGGGGGAGGAAGGGGTTAGAAGCTTCTAGCAGCCATTTTGATTAAACATGTGTGCTTAACTCTATAGCATAGAGTGAGATGAGTAAATAGACATTTTCCTTTAACTAGGAAATATGTGTAGACCTTATTTCCACAACAGCTGAAATTATTATTAGAGCCATTGCGAGGGGGGTACATAAATAAAAATGCACAATAAGGCATTGAATAAAAATATTTACTATAAAATATATAAATACGTTAAAAATGAAGAAAAAAATAAACAGTGTAATTTCATTCTAACTGTATTTTGATATTAATATATTGATATTAAAATACATTTAGAACTAAATATACATCTATATAAATATAATACCTATATATATAAATAATAAAAAAAAAAGTATATTATATATATATTAATTCTACGTATATATTTATGTAATTATTTTACATAATTAAGTCATTTTATTAATTACAATTTGCAGGATCTGCCCGATAACCCGGGCAGAAAGTCCAGAGAATGTAATTTGCTAACACTATATTTAACCCTGTAACTTTCCAAGACACCATAAAAACTTTAGACTGGGGGTGGGGGGGTACTGTTTTACTCGGGAAACTTCGCTGAACACATATTAGGGTTTCAAAACAGTAAAATTTATTACAACAATGAGATCAGTGAAAGCGACTTTTTTTGCATTTTTCACACACAAAGGGCACTTGAGTATAACAGTACCCATCATGTACAGATTTTATGGTGTTTTCAAAAGTTACAGAGTTAAATATAAGGCTTGTGTTTCAATTTTTTCACTTTGAAATTCGCCACGTTGGGTACGTTGCCTTTGAGGACCATATGCTAGCCCAGGAATGAGAATTTCTTTTTTTTTTTTTTTTGTAAATTCCAGGAATGAGAATTTCCCCATGATGGCATACCATTTGCAAAAGTAGACAATCCAAGGTATTGCAAACGGGGTATGTTCAGTCTTTTTTTAGTAGCCACTTAGTCACAAACACTGGCCAAAATTGGTGTTCAAATACGTTTTTTGCATTTTTCACACGCAAACAAATATTAACGCTGACTTTGGCCAGTGTTTGTGACTAAGTGGCTACTGAAAAAGACTGGACATACCCCATTTGCAATACCTTGGGTTGTCTTCTATTGCAAATGGTATGCCATCATGGGGGTAATTCTCATTCCTGGGCTACCATATGGTCTCAAAGGTAACGT